GCCCCGGGTCTGGCCTTGGACACTTCAGCAGAGCGGACAGGGTCGTCTTCAAAATGCGGTGGGGACAACTCATGGAGGCCACGGCGGGTGGCCCGGGCGGCCCGGAGCAGAGTGTGGGTCAGCACGGCCACCAAGGCCAGGGCACCCAAACCGAGGATAGAGGCGGCTGCTGCTCCTGTCTCAATCTCAAAGAGCAGCAGGGCGTAGATAGACAGTCCTGGGGAAGGAAACGTTTCCATTTATTCAGTCAATAAACATTTGCTCTCCAAGCCATGGGAGAGCTTTCCAAAGACAGGGGCCGTCATTCAAAACTGACCAACAGGGTAGACACATGGATGAACTCATCTGGTCCTTTCTCAACTCCCACCAGAATTCCTGAATCCCTGTGACCTTGAGGGAGTCACAGCTGCTCCTCTCCTGTTTGCTGGTCTGAACAAGGCAGTTGGTAACCCGACCTTGAGGACCTGTACTGGTTGGTTCCCTGTCACCCTGTCCAGCATCCAGTTGGCACCATTCTTTACTGTGGAGACTATCCCATGCACTGTAGGACATTTACCAGTGTCTACCTCCTCCCACCCTGTTGTGAGAACCAAAAATGTCTCCAGATATTGCCAAATATTCCCTGGGGTGTAGAATCAACCCCCATTGAAAACTGCCAGTCCAGTCTCTCCCCCTACCCTGAGGGCTGGTCTAGGAACTCTGACCCACCCCTATGGCGTCAGTGATGTGCTTAGTTCTGGGCTTGATTTGTCAGAACGTTGCTTCTCTAGTTGTAGTGATTGGTGCAGGGCTTTCACATGACCTCAAGCTCAGCCAATTGGGACAGGAGGACCCAGGAATTTCTTACTGCAGTCTCCAGGAAACTTGTAAGAGAGAAGCCCGTGGCTGATAGAGGACTTCTTGGCACTTTGTGGGGTGTTTTTATGCCTTCTCTGCTCTTCTCTTTTGCTTTTGAAGATACCACATTGCATCCTATATGGCATATTAAAGTGAGGTCAAGGAATTTTTGCTCTAAACATTTTTTTTTCAAATTATAAGAGGAAGTTTACATAGAAAGTCAGAGTTAGAAAAGGTGAGCCAGCTGGGCTGTGTGGGTTCAGGAAATAAGTTAGAGACAAAAGAAGGGAACTTAGAGCTTAGAAAAAAGAAAACCAGAGCCCTGGCTGGTGTGGCTCAGTGTATCGAGTGCTGGCCTGTGACCAATAAGTGGACGGTTCAATTCCCGGTCGAGGCGCATGCCTGGGTAGCAGGCCAGGTCCCCAGTTGGGGTGCAAGTGAGAGGCAACTGATTGATGTTTCTCTCCCTCCCTTTCTCCCTCTGCCCCTCTCTGTAAAAATAAATGAATAATAATTTTAAAAGGCAGAGAGAATGTGCCTGGGGTAGGAGAGAGGGGAAGGCCCAGATGTGTTCAAGACAGAGAAAGAGTGCGCCACTCTAACCATTTCTGAAAAGGTCTTTATAATCATTCTTTTGTCTGCGGTTAGCAACAAATGGAGGACTGGCTGGACATGCTGGGGAATTCTTGCCAAGTGAGCTCACCTAACCTCAGAAAGAATCTAAACGGGAGCCGAATGAATTCTTAATTTAATGCCTAATGAAACTGACACAGTTACCTTTTTTTCCCTTTTGAGTCTTCTAGAATTTTAGAAGGAGGATACTGTATTCTCCAAGTCTCCAACATTTTTGTTGGCTCATGAAAAGCCTGGAGGCTGGAGGCATTTTGTCAAAAGCACTTAGGGGTACAGGCATCTTTCTCAGGGACAGCAGGTGAAGAGGTGAAGCACGAGGCATTTCCGATGGCCTCATTTGACCGCCTGGATTCGGTCACATCCAAGACCAACAAAGCCTGATCTTTTCAGATACATGAATCACCCCATTCACTTAAAAAAAAAAAAAACAACCCACATCTGGAGCATTTTATTAAGTAAAAAATTATGCAGAGCTCCCTACACTTTATGTACAAATTCCCACAATGAGCCCTAAGCTCACCTCTCATAAATACATGTTTTAAGTATATCTTGTTAACTTCTGTTTCTCTATTGTGGAACCAAGAAAAAAAAAACAGTGATGGCTAATCCCACTTTTCATTCATTCAGTGAACATTTTTTCCCAGTGAAACAGGTTGTCCATCAGGCTGCCAGGGGTCTGTGTGCAACTCGGCATGGGGTCTGCAGACTGCCAACACATTTTTCAAGATTGCAACAAAATATAAGATGTCAGGAGTCTCTTTAAAGAAGCTTGATGATTTTATGCCTTTACTAGCACATGTGGGTAAGAGAACATTGACCTAAGAAGAGTTATTAGAAGTCAGAGAAGAGAAGAGAGGGTGCCCAGCTGATTGCCCAGCTGATTATTTTTACTGGGCTTCTTGGTTGGGGATTTAAAATTGCATTTCTGGTTTACAAAGCGTGCTCCCCACGCCCACCACCCTTTGAGTCATTCTTGAGCTGGAAGTTCTGATTGTTTGTAACTAAAACAATTTTTGCAACCTCTGAAACGCTATCTCCCGAAATCACCAAGGACACAGAGAATTTTGCTCAAACCAAAGGTAGAGAAGGGTAGAGCATTGACGAATCGGACCTGTTCTGAAGACACAGACCATTGACAAATCCCCCTGCCCCGATTGGGGCTGGATGCTATCTTCAGGCTTTACCAAGATTAACTCAAAATCCCCTTAGCAATCCTCTGAGGCAATGAATTGTTATCATCCAATTGTACTGATGAGGAAACTCAGGCATAGAAGGAATTTTCCCAAGGTCTCAGAGAAAGAAAGTATCAGGGCCAAGAGTCAAACACAGGCAGGGTGGCTCCGAAGCAGACCCCAGTTATGGGACCATTATCCCTGGCCACCCCAACCCAGGGCCCTACACCCCACGTCCTATGCCCCACTACTCACCTGCCAAGTAGACAGAGACCCCACAGCAGAAGAGGCCAAGGGTGATATGTCTGAGGAGGCGGCAGTCGTAGAAATAACTGTCAGACCTGGAAGGGAGGGAGGGCGGCAGGAAGACAGGGCTCAGGAGGTGGGGCTGGTTAGGGAAGGCAGGAGAGGGAGGGATGGCCAGCTTTGGGGGAAACGAGATCTGTGTGAGGACCCATCCATCCTTCCAAGTGAATATTCACCACCATTTACTGTCTGTCCATCCCCATCGATTATTCAACCATCTGGCTATCCACCCATGTAACCATGCCTTATGAGTCCATCCATCCATTAATCCATGCCATTCATCATCCATCCGTCATCCATGACCCACCAACCCTAACCCTAACTCATCCATCTATCCACTGTCCATCTTCCATTCACCGTCCATGGATCCAACCAACCACCCATCTGTCCATTCGTCCATCCCTCATTCACCACCCATCCATCCATCACCCATTCCCTTCCTCCATAACCCATCCATATACATCATCCATTCAAACACTGGACACTCACTCACAAAGCAGCTGTTATTTACCAGCACTTGTTAGCCACCTAATTGCCATTATTTTACAGACCATACGTTTATTTGGGAGATGAAGAAACTGAAGTTAACTTGCTACCAATGGTGAAGGGAACAGATTCCCAAAAGCTGGCACTGCGGATCTACTTTTGAGACCGGCACGGGGCTCTGTGAGTCTGCAGTGGGCAGTCTCTGACAGCTGCCATCATCATTCATCTCCCACCGGGACAACGGAAGTGGCCTCCTCTCTGGTCTTCCTGCACTTAGGGCTTAATGTTCCCTAAACGACAAGCGCTTTCAACACTAGCTGACCCAGGGCCCTATCTACCCCTCAGTTGCCACATATGTAAAATGGGTGGTTGGGGGTTCGCAGGGGTAGTTGCAGCTGCTGTAAACTTGCAACTAATATAGAATGGAGGAAGGGAGGCAGGAGTGGAAAAAAGGCGGGGGGCAGGGAGAGATGATAAAGGGATGGGGGTAAGGGAGGGAAGATCTCCCCCAACCTGAGGCTCAGAGAGGGGCAGTGGCTCTCTTGGGCTCGCCCAGCCCCGGGGCCGGGTGGAGGGGCCAGTCCTCCTACCTGCCGGGGCCAGGCCCCCTGGCCAGCTCCGCACCCAGGTGGCCGCAGAGCGCGGCGAGCAGCAGGCAGGTGAGGGCCAGCACCAGGGTGAGCGCGGCGAGCGCCGCGGCCAGCGGCAGCAGCGCCCCGGCCGCGTCCTCAGGCAGCCCCGGGCCCTCGCCCAGCTCCGGACCCAGCCCATCCGCGCGCAGCCCCCGCAGCTCCGCGCGGCCCGCCTGCAGCTGGAACAGCAGTTGCGCGCCCAGCACCGCCAAGACAGCCGCCGCGACGCCCAGCAGGGTCATCGCGACCAGCACCCGGCCGCCGTACGAGCGGGCCATGGCGGGGGTCCTGCGGGCCGGGGGCGGTCGAGGAGTCAGAGATTTTCCGGGGCAGTGGAGTTGGAGGTGGCGGGGATCCAGGAGGGGGCGAGGTCGCAGAGGTGTCTGAGAGTTGGAGGGGCTTCACGGGCTTCGGGGTACTACTGGTCCGGACAGGGAAGCTCCGCGAAAACTTCGGACGGTCGTTCCTCCTCCCTCCGAGGACCCTGCGGGCGCCCCCTCCCGGCCTCCGGAGCTGGCGGGGCGGGGCCGGCGAGGGGCGGGACCGAGGAGGGCGGGGCGGCCCCACCCAGGGACCCCTACAGGTCCCTAAACTCATTAAGTACCCACCTCCCCACCCCCACCCCGCCCCTACCCGCGCGCCGGCCTGAGCACCTGTTTTATTGTTTTTGTTTTTTAAAGAGTCTTGAACAAATTTTTAAATAATTCACCTTGACTCTTAGTCTCTACCTGCGGATCTCTAGCAGCAATTGTTCGTGATTTCCTGTTTGCTCATCTTCTTTCAAGCCTTTGCAAAAGGGTCTCCTCCTTGCCCCGGCCCTCCTGGACCCTCACCTCCAACAGGCGCCCCAGTCCTTCGCTGCTGGGCTTAGTTCCAACCACGGCACTTCTTCAAAAAAAACAACTTTATTTATTTTTAGAGAGAGGGGAAGGGAGAGAGAAAGAAAGGCAGAGAAACATCCATGTGTGGTTGCCTCTCGCACGCCCCCTATTGGGTACCTGGCCCACAACCCAGGCATGTGTCCTGACTGGGAATCGAACAATGACCCTTTGCTTTGCAGCCCAGGTGCCCAGTCCACTTAGCAACACCATCCAGGGCACTGCACTTCTTTTGCTACTTAAAAAAAAAAAAGTTTTAAAAATGGATGTGAAGTTTACCTGACATAAAATTCCCCTTTGTAAAGCAAACAATTCAATGGCATATGGTGGCAACCGTTACCTTTTTTTTTTTTTTTGAGCCAATTGGTATTAAGACAAGGAGGCTAACTTGAAATAGGGTTGTTCTTTTTGTTGTTGTTCCATGCCTATCATTTTCCTATAAGATAAATCTGTAATTGTAAAGTATTTAGGCTGGTTACACAAACCACATGGGGCAAAGTAAAGGGTTTAGATCTTATTTATTTTTAGAGAACAGGGAAGGGAGGGAGAAAGAGAGGAAGAGAAACACTGATGTGAGAGACATATCTACGGGTTGCCTCTCACTCATCCCCAACTGGGGACCTGGTCCGCAGCCCAGGCATGGGGACTGACTGGGAATCAAACTGGTGAACTTTTGGTTCACAGGCCGGCCGTCAATCCACTGAGCCACACCAGCCCGGGCCCATCACCTCTATCTTGTTCCAGAATATTCTCATCACCCCCAAAATAGACCCCATCCCCATGAGCAGTCACTCCCCTTCTCCCCTAGCCCCTGGCAGCCACTAGTCTGCTTTCTGTCTCTGCATTTGTTGCTTGTTCTGGACATTTCATATCAATGGAATCACCCCCAAGGTGGCCTTTTCTGTCTGGCTTCCTTCACCCAGCAGTTTCTGAGGTTCATCCATGTTGCAGCATGTGTCAGTGCTTCACTCTTTTTATGGCTGACACTACTTCGTTGTATGAGTGGGCCACATGGTACTTTTACATCCACCTTCTGAAGGACACTTGGGTTGTTATCACATTTTGGCAGTTGTGACCCATGCTTCTACGAACATGTGTGAACAGTGAGTTGAGCCCCCGTTTTCATCTATTTTTGGTATGTACCAGGAGTGGAGTGGCTGGGCGAGATGCTCACTCTATATTTAACTCACTGAGGAACTGGCAGACTGCCTTCCATAGCGGCTGTGCAAGTTTACATTCCCACCAGCAGTGCACAGGTGCTCCGATTTCCTTTATTTCCACGCCAACGCTTGTTATTGTGTTTTTTGATCATGGTCATCCTCCTGATGTGAGGTGCTAGCTCACAGCAGCTTTGATTTGCATTTCTCCAGAGGCTTCTGATGGTGAGCATCTTTTCATGGGCTTGTTGGCCATTTGGGTATCTTTTTTTTTGAGAGATGTCTGTTCATATCCTTTGCTTATTTTTGAATCCGGTTGTTTTTCTGGTTTCCTCAAGCACTTTGCATCCTGCAGTTAGTTCCCCAATGTCCGGGGCCCCCTGTTGGGGGGGTGCACCAGGACAGTGGGATGTCTGCCGAAGTGTCCACCAATGTGTTCCCTTAGTGTCCCAGACTGCACCCGGCACACCTCAGACCCTCAATAAATGCTTGCTGCACCCATGAATGAATGAGTAGCCTGGTACTCCTGCTCTGGAATTCTTGCAAAGTGTGAAATATCATATCCAAAAATGGTTTCACAGGTAACACATACCTGATAAATCCAGAATAGCATGAATGAGTCAACCTGGTCTTCTGCAATCAGAGCCCTGCCTTAGTGCATTTGGGTCTGAAAGACAGCATAGTCATCGCCTGGGCTTTGCAGGTGAGGAAGCTGAGGCACAGAGTGGTGCACTGACTCCCTAGGTCACGTGGCTTAACACAGGCAGGGCAGTATTCGAAACCAGCAGCATGGCTCTGACACATTGCTCCATATTATAATTTTATTTATGTATTTATTTATTTATTTCTCTATACAATTTTAGAGCCATACTAGTTTTGAATTTCCAGGTTTCTTTTCTGATTTGGGGGGTCTTCTGGGAAGAGTGTAAGGGTCCTGAGCCCTCAGCTGAGTGTTTTCTAGATAAAATGACCTCGGGGAAAAGTAAGGGGTGACCCTACAGCTCCAAGTGGCCTCCTCCTTTGCTGTGTGACTTTGGGCAAGTCCTCTAGCTTCCCTGGGCTTCCTCGCTTGTAACAAAAATGAGTTCACTCATTCATTCATTTACCAGGCTTTGCCCAACACACCGAGCCTCCTTCATTAGCAAAGGTAAGGAAAAGAAACCCCAAACTGGGGGAGCCAGGGCTCAGTGACTCATTTGGAACAAAGCCCCAGCTCTGTGCCTGGTATTGGAGAGACACGGATGTAAGACAGTTACATTATTCATCCGACAGACATTGAGGAGGTGCCCACCCAGTACTGGTTCTAGGCTCTGGAGACCCAGTGGTAACTAAGGCAGGCCCAGCTTGCCCCTCTGGGGCTCATGGCCTGGTGGGGAAGTAGAAAATAAGCTAAACCAGACAAGTAAAGAGACAAGTCCATACCACAGCCAAAGGTCATTACCACACTGTCTTAGATTTCACCATTGTTTGTTGGGGACTGGGAGGAGGGATGTTCACAGATGCCAAGACCCTGCCCTTCCCTTTGTGTGTGGGTGACTTTCTAGTTGGTGTGTCTGGCTTCAATTTGGAAAGTTAACCCTGCGAGTGGAGACGCTCTGTGAGTGACACTCTGAGGGAGGGTTTGTCTGCTTGGCCAAGCGCCAGCTGTGCCTTCCGCACTACAGCCGGAACGGGTGGGGGTGGGGGTGTCACAACTCCTTACTGGGAAGGATGAGACTCAGAGAGGGTCAGTGATTTGTCCACATCACACAGCCCCTGCCTCACCGCCCAGGTGGGGAAGACTGGCCACTGTGTGTGGTGGGAATAATAATAAAGATAATGATGGGTCGCATGTCCTGCGGTTTACCCCAGGAGGACATTGTAAAACTTTCTCTTCCTAACGACCTGTTAGGTATTACTGAATTTAAGAGCCAATATCACGCAAGGTCTAATGCACAGGTGGGCTTACTGAGGTCCACAAAGAAAAAACTGGCTGGAACCTGAAACAGGTGTTACCAACGGATCCTCAATGCCCCCACCTGGATCAGCAGGCGTGCGCATCGAATGAGGCGCTGGCCAATCCAGTGGCCAGGCCGGGAGCACCACCTCCTCATCTTTTCCGGAGATCGGGTGCGGTGCGGTCCAACTTGCAGCATGTGGCCAGGATGGCAATGAATGAGGCCCAACACAAACTTGTAAATTTACTTAAAACCTTTTTTTTTTTTTGCGCATCAGTTTTCATCAGTGTTTGTGTGTACAATATGTGTCCCAGAGAGCCGGAAGGTAGGACACCCCTGGTCGGCTCCCTAGACCACGCCTCACCACCCGCCTTTAGGCGGCGCCAGAGGAAAAGGAAGAGGTTCCTGGAGCGGAGACCGCTCCCGCTGTGGCCTCTGGGCAGCCCCGCCGGAGAGCGCCTGGCCTTCGAGTCATTTCCCAGAAGAAAGAAGAGGAGGCTTGGAGAGGGGAGGTGACTGTCCTCTGGTCACATGGCCAGGAAGTGGTTCCAAGACTGGAGTTTTAAAAAAATGGATTTTAGAGGAAAAGAGAGAGGAAGAGAGAAACATTGATGTGTTGATCCACTTATTTATGCATTCATTGGTTGGAGTTGTGATTTTTGATTTCTCTGTTCTGCCATCTCTGCGGGAATACTCGGGCTTCACCAGGGATGAGGAAATTCCTGGCCTTGGGTGGCGGTTCTTGGGTGGGGGTCACCCCGGCATCCACGGCTCCAAGTTCTGAGACGCATCTCGTATAAACTCTGAAGCGCTGTTGTAATCTTGTACACGAAATGGAAAACTCATTTATTGTAAGAGGGGCTGATCGTTCCCAGCACGGTTATTCAATTTTATGTGCATTTTCCCATTTTGGAACCAGTAGCCATTCCACCTCACCCAGGTCTTAAAAGTATTCCTGGAGACCCTGGCCAGAAGGCTCAGACGCGCGCCTCTGGACGACCCGGGCAGGCCCCGGGTCCGCGCCCCGTCGGGTGAGGGCATCTCACAGAGGGACCCCCGCCGCACCCTAGGCCCCACCCTTCACCTGCGGGGCGGGGTCTGGGGGGGGTGGTTAGAACAGTTCTCCAGTTCCCGCCCTGCTTCTCCCCGAAGTTTCATCAGAACCCTGACCCCTCCAGGGGTTGGGCCTCAGACCCTTCCCACTCCCCGCATCCGGGGGAACTCGGAACGGCTCCTCCACTGTCCCGCCGCTCAGGCGGGAACTCAGAATGGTCGGTCCCCTTGCCGCCCCTCCTCCCAACCCCGGTGGGGCTCATCTCTGATTCACCTGCGCCCGCCAGCCCTCCGTCTTGGGGGGCTCCGAATAGCCCCCGCCCCTGCCGACCGCCGAGTCGGGGAGGGCGCACCAGAGACCTGACCCCGTCCAGCTGTTCTCTCCCCCCAGGGGTCAGAACAGCTCCCCCGCCGCGCCCTCCGCTTCGACCTCCGCCCGGGGCTCGACCTCTCCACCCCGGCCGTGTGCGCCACGCGCCGCGCGTTCCACGCGGTACTTGCGGCGGCGCAGCGGCTCGGTGAGGCTGCGCGGCGCGGGGTCGTCCAGGTCCTCGGGCTGCAGGAAGCTGCGGTCCAGCACCTCGGCCGCCTCCTGCCAGTTGGCGAAGCAGGCGGGGCCCAGGCGCCGGATCTCGTCGGCCGCGTCGAGCGTGAGCACGTCTCCGCTCGGCTTGAGCACCACCACGGCCGGGAGACGCTCCACGGAGAACTGGCGTCCGAGGTCCCTGCGGGGCAGGCAAGTCAGTGACTCCGCGCAGGGGAGCCCCTCATTCCTTTACCTAGTACCTACTTAGCGTCTCCTTTGCGCACTGCCCGGGCTGGGCGGTGGCGAAGCCCGGGGACCGGTGCTGCCTGGGCCACACCGGACTCTGCACTGTGCCTCCGTCAACACCCCAGACTCGCTCCCATCTCAGGGCCTGTACATGGGGCGGTGCCCTCTACCTAGTAGTGCATTTTCCCCAGACCTCTGCCCATTGAGGCCCATCCTCGAAAAGCAGCACCTCCCTATCCCTCTGCTGTCCAGTGCCTCTCAGCATCCACACGTTACATAGTTTATTTTTCCCATTTTCACCGCAATAAAATCACGAGGGCATGCATTTTTCTTTTCATTCACTAGTGTCCCTAGTGCCTGACACAGTGTGGGACACAGAGTAGGTGCTCCGGATATGTGTAGGATGAACGAATGACTATTGAGAAATGCCATGAAGAAATCTGGGTAAGAGGCTGGTGGTTAGGGAGGGCCTCTCCGAGAAAGTGACCTTTGAGCTGAGATCTGCCCAAGGAGGAGGGGGAGAACTGGGGAAAGGCTGTTTCAGGCAGAGGGCACAGCCCAGGCAAAGGCCCTGAGGTGGGAGAGATTAGTGTGCTGACTTGATCTCCAAGGCCCCCCAAGGGCGCGTCCAAGAGTTTAAATGTTCTTCACAGTATGAGGAGGGAGCCGGTGAGAAGCCATCCAGTCCCAGGAGACCCAGGACCAAGCGCCCTGTCTAGGCCAGAATCCCTCACAGTCATCATAGCCTAAAGGGAGCTGCCAGACTGGGCCAGTCACCCAGGGTTCTTAATTTCCACTCACTTGTTCCTGGGTGGCCCTTTGTCACACAGAGAGCACATGATGTTTGCAGAATCCCACAGGAGTAGGTTTCCAAGCTCAGCAAATAAAAAATACAGGACATCCAGTTAAATTTGAATCTCATATAAACAAATACATTTTAATATAAGTATGTCCCATGTAATGTGTGGGGCAAGCTTATACTAAAACATCATTCATAGTTTGTGTGAAATTTGTATTCTACTGGAATCCTGTATTTTATCTGGCAATCCTGCGGGTAGGTGCCAGTGGAGGGCGGGTACAGGGGCACTTGCTCCAGATACCAGCTGGGTGAATGTTCTGTTGGATGATGCCCTGGCATCTCTGCCCTGCAGAGGGCAATGTTGCCAGTTCCGGGCAAAGAACTCCCTCAGCTGCAGGGGGCAGTGGGAGTGAGCCAGTGTCCAGGCTTTGATCATCTCAGGTGGGGATGAAGGTCTTCATGACCAGCTGCTATTGTGTAGCAAAATAAATGAAGTCAGAAAAATGTCACAAAGCCTGCAGCTGACTTTCAGACAGTTTAGGACAAACCCCTCATGCATGTAGGTAAAGCAAACAGGGCAAAATGTTAACAGTGGCCATGGATTTCCTTTCTGTGCTTCTTCCAACTTTTTGGTGTCTTTGAAGTTTTTCATAATAAAAAGTTGGGGTTTAAAAAGAATGAAAGGCTTCCTGCAGAAAAGGGAAAAGTTCTAAAATAGCCACAAACTAAAACACGTTTTTTGGGTTACTCCTTGTAGAGCTTGATTCCAACCACCTCAGCTCTGGTGCCCTCCATGGCTCCCAGCTGTGCTGGACATGGTGCCTGCTGACTTCTCTCACCTGGAATTACTTACAGCTCCCAAAATTGGTTGTCCTTCTATCCTTTGTGCTGTGTTCTGCTGTGCTCTCTGCCTAGAAACCCTCCCCTTTCCTCATGCTTCATCCTCTCATCCCCCATCCTTAGGGGTCTCTCTTTAAAGTCATTTCCTCTGCCCCGGCTGGTGTGGCTCAGTAGATTTGAGTGCTGGCCTGGGAACCAGAACGAAGATCGCCGGTTTGATTCTCAGTCAGGGCACATCCTTGGGTTTTAGGCTAGGTCCCAATCGACATATCTCTCTCCAATCAGTGTATCAGTGTTTCTCTCCTATTTCTCCCTCCCTTCCCCCCTCTCTGAAAAGAAATAAAATATTTTTAAAAAGCCATTTCCTCCAATGAGCACCCCTGGGCCCCCAAATCTCAGCAAATCTCCCCTTTGTATCTCTACATGGCACCCTCCCTTTGTCCTCCAGAACAATACTGCAGTTTGCTATTATATATTTGCATCTTTGTTTCACGTCTGTCCCCCTACTAGGTTGCAAGCTCCCTGGGGGCTGGATGGACACAGGCATGTGCACTTCTCTATGTTCTCCTCAGTTCTCAGTATATGGACTGGTATACCGGCTGCTCAACTCCAGATGGGCCAGATATATCTATAAACTAATACTTCACTCTCACCAGCAAGAGCCTCTCCTCCAGGAAGCCCTCCCTGAGCTCCCCTCCCACCTCACCTCCTCAGGTCATCCTCAAAGGGCAGGAAGAGCCACTTCTTGGGCATATCCCTGAGAAACAGGTCCTGCTGTTCCTCCGTGGTGTCCTGAGACACGTATACCAGGGCCAGCTGGGCCGCCCGCAGCACGTAGAACTCGTCCGTGAGCTGAATGAAGAAGTCCCTCAGGACAGGTGCGAAGGCCTGGCACTGGGGGCATGACCCAGCACCGAAGAACAGCAGCACCAGTCGGTTGTCCAGCCTGCGGCTGAGCTCTGCCTCCGTATCCAGCTCATCCTGGTCACTGTTGTTTCGGATCAGGACTCGACCGGAGAACAGGGAGGCCATGGCAGCCCTGGCTAAGGGCTGGGGAAGGGGCAGAGGGAGCTTGTGTGTGGCCCTGGGCTTGCTGGCTGGCTGCCGCTCCAGGATTAGGAATCTCTAGGAGGTCAGTTTGGGGCCTCACTAATCTGCCTAAACCACAGCCCGATCCTGACCTGATTCTGCGGAGCCTCCCAGGGCAGCGGCAGCTTCCCGGGGGGGGGGGGGGGGGCCCTTCTCGAGGGACAGCTGCAAATGCACTAAAAACTCTGCACAGGATTGCAAAGGAAACCCAGCAGACTGACACAGGGGTGCAAAAACTTTATGTGATGTAAAAATCCCTGCTTCTTCATGAACACATTAAGTGATCCCGGTTCACGAGGGCTCTACTAAGTACCACAGTTTCTGAGTTCAGGTGAGCATAGTGGTATTTGGAGACGTCTGCCGGTGATCAGGATGCGATATGAGTTGCCTTCGATTTTCACGAGTGAAAGAGTCGCGAGACCGGCCTATACCTGCTTTGACAGGGCATGAGAGGACATGCCAAATTACAGTGAGAAGTTAATGGAAATAAAGATGAATTCTGCCTGGACAGCCCACCTTAAGATCCCTTGATGTGCAAAGTGGAAAATCACTGCCACAGTATTTTGTAGCCCCCTCCCATCAGGAGGTGGAAACCAGTTTCCTTCTCCTTGACTTGCCTTGACCCACAGGTTGTGGCAGAAGGCAGGCCGAGCGGCTCCCACCACCTGTGTCTCAATGCTTCCTCCAGGTGCCCCACGTGTTAAATAGGATAAGGGTCTCAGGGTCTGGGAGTTCTAAATATTACTAAATGTTATCATTTTTAAACAAGTTTTTAAAAGATTTTATTTTTAGAGGGAGGGGAAGGGAGGGAGACAGAGAGGGAGAGAAACATTGATGTGAGAGAGAAATATTGATCAGTTGCCTCTTATAGGCTCCCTTTTGGGGGACAAAACCCTCACATGCCAGGCCTGTGCTCTGACTGGGAATCGAACCTGCAACCTTTCACTTAACAGAACCATGCCCACTCAACTGAGCCACACTGGTCAGGGCTTTCTGGTTGATTCCTTGTTTGTTTGTTTGTTTTTTACTTTTAGAGACAAAGGAAAGGAGGAAGAAAGAGGGAGAGAAACATGCCCTGAGTGGGGATCGAAAACACAGCCTTCCTGTATCTGGCCAACACACTAACCAACTGAGCTACTCAGCCAGGGCACTAAATGTTACTCTTGCTAAATGTTAAAATGTAGCACAGTATTTTGTAGACCAGCTGGAAACAGGATGAACTGGACAGGAACCCAAGGAGATAAATGTAGCCACAACTGCAAAGGAAAAAAATTGATGTGTAATTAACCAAACAGTATATGTAAACCATGGCTAAGGCCCCTTGGGGAAACAGAGCTTTGGATTTGAACCGCCTGCCTGCTTTACTTGGTGCAAGTAAATGAAATAATCGGTACCCGCAACAACCATGTTTCCTTCTTGAATAGAGTACCCCCAAACCGTGAACCCCTTGAGTTCCAGTAACACAAGGAAGAGATGTAGCCCAGAAGTTGACAAGCCTTTTTTGTAAAGGACCAGGTAGTAAATATTTTTGGCTTTGTGGGGCATCCAGTTTCTGTTGCAACTTTAAATTCTCTGCTGTTGTGCAAAGTAGCTTCAGACAATATGTAAATGAATTTATACGTCTGGATTCCAATAACAGCACTTTATGGATGCCAAAATTAGAATTTCATAGAATTTTCATGTGTCATGAAATATTAGTCTTTTGACTTTTTAAAATCTTTAAGAAATGTGAAAACTGCCCTGGCTGGTGTAGCTCAGTGGCTTGAGTGCTGGCCTGTGAATGAAAGGGTTGCCGGTTCAATTCCCAGTCAGGGCATGTGCCTGGGTTGCAGGCCAGGTCCCCGGTGGGGGGGGCACATGAGAGGCAACCACAGATCGACGTTGCTCTCCCTCTCTTTCTCCCTCCCTTCCCCTCTCTCTAAAAATAAATAAATAAATAAAATCTTCTTTAAAAAGAAATGTAAAAACCATACTTAGCTGATGACAATGAGCTGGATTTGGCCTGTGAGCAGAGGTTTGCCAGATTATTTTTCTAGCCTACGGGGTGAGAGGCCACAGGGAGAAGCAGATGCCCAGCCAACAGCCAGCACCACTGGCCACACACGTCATCCTCTAGCCTGGCCACCCCAGAGTGACTGAGTCCAGTGAGACCAGCAGAGGGACCGTCTGCTCAGGCCACCCTTGGGATCCTGAGACAGCTGATGGCTGTTGTATTGAGGCAGGTTAGTAAGAAGCTGGGAAAAGACCTTGGCAAGTGGAATGAGGAAAACAGATAGTTAAACAAGACTGAGCGATTAACAGCCAGCTAATAAATCGCAAGATCTTATCCTACTGAACGGAGGACACTTTGGAGCAAACTCTTTGTATCTCTTCTCCCCAGCCAGAGAGTGAGTAGCTTCATCCTAGTCAGGGAGTCGGACGACAGACCCAGTTGGTACCATTACTGTCGGCCAGACCCCAGAACAAATGCAGTCAGGAATAAGTAACAACAAGAAACAAGTGGAGCCAGACAAGTGCAAGATAAAAGTAAAGCAGTGACGCTGATCAGAGAATGTCCCAAACTCCCCATCTGCTCATTTTGATGCATCAGCGTATCAAAGAGAAACAGAAAAGCTGCTGAATATTCTGTTGATACCTCCCCTGAGACTTCCCCTAAAACTCCCTCCTTTAGAAAACAGATGCAAACCCTCAGGACAAAGACTGCCAGTGGTGCTCTTCCTTGAGTGCGTGCATCCACCCCCTTCCTTCCTCAGGGGTGCATCTTTGCTTTCTTTCTCTTACTCTCTGAGGGTTCCCACACGACTCGCAACCCAGGGAGCAACGAGAAGCAGCAACTTGACCCAGGCTAACCCCCTGAACCGGTCTTCAAGGCTCCTTTTGCCTCTGTAACTTGTTTTCTGAGTCCACGCAGCTCAGCACGGCTCACTCCTGTTACTGTGACTTCCTCGCCTGAGTCTTCGCAGCTCAGCCTGGGCTCACTTCTGCCTCTGCGACTTTCTCTCCTGAGTCTAGGCGGCCCAGCTCAGGCTCACTCCTGTTGCTGTGATCTTCCCTCTTCTATCTTAAACCCTTCCTTTGTTTCACTGTCCCCAGCTTTAATAATGTATTCTCAAAATCACCTGGACTCATGTCGTGAGTTCTTCCCTGCACAAAGTCAAGGACCCACACATTCCAGACCGTGCTGGGGCAGACCTACCTCTGGGTCCCTTTCCAGTGACATTACGAATCTACTGAGTTCGGGGTAATTTGTTATGCAGCAGCAGCTAACGAGAACACCTAGTTTAGCCCCTGGCTGGTGTGGCTCAGTGGATTGAGTGCTGGCCTGCGAGTCAGAAAGCCGAGTCAGGGCACCTGCCTGGGTTGAGGGTCAGGTCCCCAGTAAGGGGCTTGCGAGAGGCAACCACACATTGATGTTTCTTTCCCTCTCTTTCTCCCTCCCTTCTCCTCTTTCTAAAAATAAATAAAAATTAAATATTAAAAAAACACCTATTCTAGAGGATTTTTCAGGGCTTAGGAAATTGTGGGAGACTGAAAGAAACTTAGTATTATTGGCTTTAAACAATGAAAAGAAAGCCACAAAATCCTCATCGCCAAGGGCTTAATTCACGTTGTTAAGACTTCAAGAACAGGTCCTTTCCAGGTGTGTCCACCTTTCACCTCATTTAGAAATAATTCCCTGCTCAGATTTTCCTCACTTTGCTACAACCCTGGGAAATCCCGGCCTGTAGCCACTGAGAGCAACATCGTCTCAACAGTGGGGAATCTCCCACGATGTTAGTGAGGTGCCAGGCTCGTGTCCTCAGAACGGCTCTACAAGGGCCAAGCAATTTTATTGCATTTTATAGGTGACACAGACCCTGGCAGAAGTTGACCCACGTCGCCAAATTATCCAGCAAATGACGTGTGTGGGGCTGTGGAGCCAATTCCAACCTGCCCCAGAATTTCCAAACTGCAGCACCCTTGCCACTTGGGGCCAGATCGTTCTTTGTGATGTGGGGATGGTCCCGTACATGATAAGGTTTTAGCAGCACCCTGGCCTCTACCCACTAGATGCTAATAGTGTACTCCCACCTTCTCCAGTTGCAGCCATTAAAATGTCTCCAAACATTGCCAAGTGCCCTCAGGGGCAATTGAGAACCACTGTTCTAACCCTGCGTCCCGCTGAGTGGGTGGAATGGTAGCCCCCAAAGAGGTATAACCAAGTCCTAACCTGCAGGACCTGTAACTGTGACCTTATTTGGAGAAAGGGTTTTCAAAGATGTAATTAACAATCTCAAGATGAGACTGAACTCTAGGGAAAAGACACACAATAAGGGCTCCTGGTGGCTAACTGGGCTCAAATTAAAAAAAATAAAAATAAAAATAAATAAATAAAAAAGGCCAGCAGCCACTGCTGCAAGGGCTCTCTCGCTGAAACCACACTTTGCAGAGAAGCCTCTGCACTAGCCTGCCCGCTGCCTCAGTGCTAAACTGCTAGCCAGCACTGTGTTTTTGCTCTCTGAGCCAGCCCTAATAAAGGAGGTTGGAGGGGCGCCCATCTAACCAATCAGAGACCAGGGGCGGGGACTTCTGTCTATGTAAATCAGCTCCTTGGAAGCACCCTTTCCACCCAAGACTCCTTACCCGTTTTTTTCTGGCTGGATCTGAAACACCAGTGGAGCAGACCATGGTGGAGCTGAACCGCTTGGCTGAAGAGGGGCCTGGTGGCACACCAGGCCTTGGGCGGGCAGCGTCACGCCCGCGGTTTCCGCAGCTGCACGGTGGCACTGGGGAGCTGTTCCACCGCAGCGCTGTTTTCACAGCCATGCTGTATTACCGCAGAGCTGTTTGCACTAAAGGAAGTTTCCTTCACCACACCCGCAACTGGGGATTCCTGTGGGTGTTGAGTTGGTGCCAACGACCATCAGTTGACAAGATCATCCTGGATTGTCTAGTTAGGTACTAAATTCAATGACAAGTGTCCTTATGAGAGATAGAGGAGAAGACAGACACTCAGGGAGAAGGCAAGTGAAGACAGAGATTGGGGAGATGTGGCCGCAAAC